TTTTTTTTTTTTTTTTAACTCCATGGGCGATCGTATGGGTGCTTCAAATGGTTAGAGCACTCGTATTTTTTACCAAAAGGTTGAAAGTTGGAGTCCACCCAGAGGTGCCTGGGAAGGAAGACCTGGTGATCTACTTCCGAAAAATCAGCCACTGAAAACTCTATGGAGCACAGTTCTACTCTGACATACCTGAGGTCGCAATGAGTCAGAATTGACTTGATGGCAACTAATCAGTACATCATGGTCTGGATGTACCAGTTTGTTTTTAACCTTTCACCCATTGAAGGACATCTAGTTTGTTTTCAGTTATTGACTATTAGGAATAAAATCTCTGTGAACATTCATTTACAGGTTTTTGTGTGAACATAGGTTTTCATTTCTCTGAGATAATATGCCCAAGAGTGCAGTGACTGGGTAAGCATATGTTTAGTTTTGTAAGAATCTGCCATATTCTATCCTAGAATGGCTGTACCATTTTACCTTCCCACCAGCAATGCATGAGTAATTCATTTTCTCCACATCCTCCCAGCATTTGGTGTTATCACTCTTTTTTATTTTAGTCATATTTCATTGTGGCTTTAATTTCCATTTCCCTAATGGCTAATGATGTTTATGGTTAATGATGTTGAACATCTTTTCGTGTGTTTTTTTGGCATCTGTGTATAAATCAGTAAAATGTCTTTACTTTTGTGTTTTCAAAGCTCTTTATATTTTCTAGATACAAGTCCTTTGCTGGAGTTGCGGTTTGCAAATATTTTATCTAGATAGCAGCTTATCTTTTCATCCTCTTACCAAAGTTTTCACAGAGCAAAAGTTTTAAATTTTGATGAGGTTCAGTTTTATCATTTTTTTTCTTTTTGGATCACGCTTTTGGTATCTAGAGCTAGGAACTCTTCACCTAGCAGTAGATCCCAAAGATTTCCCTTATGTTTGTTTTCTACAAGATTTATAGTTTTACATTTAAGTTCATGATCCATTTTGAGGTAATCTTTAAGGGGTGAAATTAGGTTGAGGGTTTTTTTTTTTTAAAAAATTATGCTTTCAATGAAAGTTTACAGTGCAAATTAATTTCTCATTCAAAAAAATTTTACACAAATTGTTTTGTGACATTGGTTGCAATGTGTCAACACTCTCTCCCTTTCCATCCAAGGTTCCCAGTATCCATTCGTCCAATTTTCCTGTCCCTTCCTGCCTTCTCATCTTTGATTTTGGGAAGGTGTTGCCCATTTGGTCTCATATACTTGAGTGAACTAAGAAGCACTTCCTTCACATGTGTTATTGTCTGTTTTATAGGCCTGTCTAAATGTTGGCTGAAAGGTGGAGTTCAGGAGTGGCTTGAGCTCTGAATTAGCAGTGTGTCCAGGGGCCATAGTCTCAGGGGTTCCTCCAGTCTCTATCAGACCAGTAAGTCTGGTCTTTTTTGTGAATTTGAATTTTGTTCTACATTTTTCTCCTGCTCTGTCTGGGACACTGTATTGTGATCCCTGTCAGAGCGGTCAGTGGTGGTTGCTGGACACCATCTAGTTTTTCTGGACTCAGGCTGGTGGAGGCTGTGGTTTATGTGGTCCATTAGTCCTTTGGACTAATATTTT